ATAAATATATTAAATTATTATTAATTAACATCGATGAATATTAATAACTATAATAAATATTATTTCATAATAATGGCAATAATTATTGCATGTGATACAGCTGCGTGGGTCCCTAATGATTGGATTAGACATACGCAGTAGCTTGCTTATCCCCCCCTCAAAGGCCCCACCTCAAATCTTTAGGCCGACGCCCAAAATTAGCTTAAGCTCATTTTCCAATAAATTCTCCAAATCAAAAACCCGTTTTTGCCATATTTGTCTTCTTTTGTTCTTAATTCATTCTTAATACTTAACTATTAAAGTGTTAAGGGTAATATTAGTACTACTTTCCAGCTAATTAGTTAATTAATTAATCCAAAAACAATTTTCCTTTTGTCACCTTTGAACTGTAGTTGTTTTTTAAGGTGCACCTATCGACGTCAGACGAAGCCTCGAAATCTGAATGACGTTCTAGCTAACACGAAAGTTACTATGGTAACGCTGTCTGATTTCTTTATCAGGCCATGAAACGAACACTGTTGTACAGTTCATCTAATTTGYTAATCCCTGACTTTTCWAGGTGCCATGGAAATTGGCTCGGTAGACGATCAGTCGTTATTTCGTCGAAGACTACGAAACGCCACTCCAAAGTCCTTGGAATGCGACCTCCAAATAGTTCCTCCTTCACAATGCAGTGAATGCGAACTCGATCCTGATGCTTTCAAAAACAAGCCAGATATAAAAGAATGGGTTTGGAAGACGGCACTAAAGATTTCTTGCCGACCTTGTTTGACATTTTCTCCATCATTCCTCTTATCACCAGTCTGTTTTTCGCCATTTATGGTCGACGATGGGCTGGTATCTCCATTCTCTTGCACAAACCAACTGATCACCACACCAAAGAAAACAACCGAGATTTCTCCATTTTCATCGAGCGAGTCAAGTAGCTGTAATATCTTCACATTTGATGCAGTCGATGTTGCTTGCGCCTCTTCATCGAGTCCCATAARCTCTAGCCGTAGACTTTGTGATATTCCCGAAGATAGCGAACTCACAGCTTTTGATATAGAAATACCATCTAATTCGATTCATAGTCAGATATTTCAGTATCGCAAAGCCGAAATTCCATCCGTTCCTCCAAAAAGTCCAAGCATTGCTATTGCTACTCAAAGCAAGAAMAACTCCTTCCAGAACAAACATCAAGTACAGCAGAAAGAACCCGATAATTCGAAAAGCAACCGACGGATTTTTAACTCCGATTCAAATAAAAGCACTTGCCAAAATAGCAGACAAAAAAAGCCTGGTACAACTCTTGTGAAAGGATTTGAAGCGAAACGAAAAAGCGGTAATTCAATGTTCTTATCAATGGTTACTCGTTAATACAACTTATTATCATATAATTATCCATAAAATACCTATATTTCTCCTTTTCGAAGATCTGATATTTTCATATGTGAAAATAAC